AGGGTATTTTTAGCTGTTCTATTGCTGCATGTTCAATCTCGGAGAATCACTGGCCGTGAGCGTGGTCGGTGAGCCCTCCTCTCTATCTGCTCCCCCTTGGAGATTGGATTGCACAGGAAATGGTCTGAGAGATGCTCACCTCCTTGTCCCGGCAGGTGCCACACAATAAGGACACAGGAGGTGAATGTCGGAGACACGTGGCTTGTCCCAGCTGCTGGGGCTTCCAGAGGACTAACCCACAGGGCATCTTCTGGCTTGGCTCCTTTTGCCCAGGGAAGAAAAGTGGAGAAAGGCGTGTGTTTCAAATGGCTGAGTGGTGCCATGCTGCTGGAGCACTAAGAAGGGTTTACGATTTCCTGCATGAAATGCCCTTTTTTTCCCATGCCTCCGCTGCCACTGACAATACGTGGTTGGCTGGAAGCTTCCTGGCACCAGGTGTGAGCAAGGTGAGATGAAGTAAGAGGGGGAGCTGGACGAGGTACCTCTCTCATATGTGCTCAGGTGTCTTCTCACACATGCTTAACATGGCTGGCCTTTAGTGTACAAGCCTCCTGAGGCTGGTTCTAGAGGACAAGATGTGTTATTGAAGAAGGGGCCTCACCTGGACTGGGCACCAGTCATCCTCTCTTGACCTTGGTTTCCTCCATTGGAAAAATGAGAGGCATAATGCCCACCTTGCATGGTTAAATGGGATAAGTGTGAGGGATGATGGGAGGTCTGTGGATAGCACCCCTCCTTCCCACCTGAGTTTGGGACCACTCAAGAGATGCCATGGGACTCAGACACATGGGGGTGAAAGTATCAGCTTTGTTGCAGACAAAGTTGATTGAAGAACTTGGCTTTAATTCTGCACTCAAAGGGCTTGCTAACACTTCAGCTTTGAAATGGAATCACCCTAAGGATATGGGCTCACCTGCAAGTCTCCTTTCCACTGGCCAGGCCCCTCGCCATGGCAGGGAGTGGACTGAGTACAAGCCCTCTATGGGCAGATCCAGAAGCCTGGTGGGAACCCAGAAGGGGCTGAACTAAGCACACTGGCAGCTCCTTCCAAACAGCTCATCAGACAGGTCACTTCTGCATGAGTGAGGCTATGGAGGGAGGCTGGGAGAGTCACTCTCAGACCAATGAGAGTCCTGGTCTCTGCAAGGAGAGGAGGCCAGATGAAAAGGAGGCTCCCATAAGCAATGAGATCAACAAATGCAGAGGCCAGTGCCCATAGAGCTTTGCATCCTGTCACTCCTCCACCACCCCCCTCTCCTTCCACTCTGCCTTCCCCTCATCCCAGCCTCCTGTAGAGGGAGTAACGGACTAACATGCCTCACAGGCCATGGGTACTTTTGACCCATTCATTCCTGAGTGTGGGGTGCTCTGGGGAATGTGCTAAATGCACGGAGACAGTGCCAAAAAAGCCTGGTCCCTGTGCACAGAGAGATGCCCGGCTGGTGGGGGAAGAGACCAGGAGAGAAAGGATCCCTGTGCCACGAGGAAAGTTCTGCTAGAGCCTCAGGCAGGGATTCTTGCTTCTGGAAATGGGTTATCTTGGTTCAACTCCCAGCTCTACCATTGCCTGGGAAATGTTCTTTAATCTCGCTGAGTCTCAGGGTCCAGATCTGTCGAAGACACCTCCTACAGATACCTACCTCGAAAGTAGGCACCTTATCAACACTATTATATTGAAGGGTACCAGGGACCAAAAAAAGTGTTACCCAACTCAGTCTTCCAGGGTTAGGGAGGGCTTCTAAGAGCAAGAGCATGAATCTAAACCAGGGTTTCTCAACCATGGCACTGTGGACATTTGGGGCCGGGTCTTTCTTTGTGTGGGGGCTGTCCTGTGCCTTGGAAGAGGCTTAGCAGCATCCTTGGCCTCTAGATGCCAGTAGCATCTCTCCCAGTTGTGACAACCAAAAGTGTCTCCTGACATTGTTAAATGTCCCCAGGAGAGCAGCGTTGCCCTTGATTGAGAAGCATGATCCACACTGAGAAGGGAAGGGTGGACAAGAGCAGAGAGGTGGGAATAGGGGATGTTATAAGTGAACTGCTGACAATATTGAGCTCCTTGGGAATGTAAGGTCCACGTCCAGGGTGAAAAATGGATTCGCAGGAGTGGATTATCCAGGGTACTGGTCATGGCACATGACATCAAACTCCAGCCCCCTTTTGATTGTCCCAAACTCAGGTGAACCATCTAGGGCGACCTCTTCCACAGAATCCCAGCTTCTGGCATGGGGCAGATGTGTGGTCGAAGCCTACTGAGTATTTGTGGGTGAGCTCACATTGGTGACGTGGTCCCTGACGGCATTCACCGTGTGTCCTCTCCATTTATCTTTTCATGAAGAAAGCTCATCCGTGAGCAGGACACCAGACCACTTTCCTTTCCCCCACGTAGCCCTGCTTTTACAGGCTTGGAATTTGATGTCTTCAGTGTATATTGAAGAACATCATACCAAAAAAAAAAATCCCTGTTAAAAAATCCCATGTTACTCTATGTAGAGCTATTTTTTGTAGATCATTGTTTGCCATATTACAAAATGCCATCTTTGTAAGAAGCTAGTGGGAGAAATTTCCTTCTGGCTTCAGTACCAGGAATAATCATGCTTTTCCTAAACAATTGGGTTTTTTTTTTCCACATTGACCCTGAATCATAAAGCTGATCATGTTTCTCACTTTATTCTGGTTGCCGGGAAGGTTATGTTTGCATTTATGGCCTATTTCAGCCAAGCTCTTTGAGCATGAATTGGAGTATTTTTGCCTGCTTACATTTTCTTGAATTCCCTCTTTATTCTTTGACCTACTCTATGGCATATTTATTTTTAATTTTATTAAGTTATATGTATTTTGCAAATAACTTTTAATGCTTTTTGGAAAAAGATTGGAAATTAGTTTTAAAAAAATGTCTTAAACCAGACATTGGGTTCTTTGTGCTGGTCTGTTTTGATGTCCAGGCCAGGACTGATACCTTCCAAACTCCTGAACTTCTTTGATGTTGGAAGGAGAGCCTAATTGCCCAAATTTCTCCGTGGGTTGGCATTATGATGATAGAATATAGATTTCTCACTTGTGGTCTTCATCATTTCCATGACAATGTGCAGCATTATCATGAGAACATACTTATAATTCCAGTCCAAGAAGAGGCAAAAGGAGCAATGGCACAAAGCTTTGGAATAGCGCAAAACTGCGGAGATAGATGAAAGGTCATTCTCTGTTCTCTGATAACAGTATTGATTCTCCTTGGGGATGTAGAGTCCATGGCCCAGGGCAAAAACAAAATGGATCTGCAGCAAGAGAAAGCCACAACCTGACTTATTGCTTCAATTATTGTTCTCTTTGCATTTTGGATTTCCTCTTTAGAATTCATTCTGGTCTGCAAGTTTCTCTCCTAAAAATTCATGTTGCTCCTCCAAAGAGTTCTGGTGGAATATTGAATGAGATACCCTTTGACAGTCTAGCTGTGAATGAGGGTGCAGAACTCACTGGTTATTAATGTAATGTTTCAATAGTCTTTCAAGTATTAGAATACAAATTGGGCATCTGTAGGAGGCATTTATAGCTGATTCCTGTGGTTTCTTTCCGAGCATCTGAACACTTTTCCCCAGTAGCAAATATGTGGAAAGATGTATCAGATGACTCTTTCGGTTCCCAATGACAGAAACACTGTGTCAAGTAACTGAGGTCAGAAAGCAGAGTCTTTTGCCCATGAAAACACAAAGTTCAGGCTTCTGCCCAGGCTGGAGCCAGCACCTAGGACAGGGCCCCTCTGTGTGTGTGTTTAGCTCAGCCTGCTTGACATTTTGCAATGCTGAGATTCTACTTTACAATTGTGTAACACCATTCTGAGGTTCATATGTTGGCTCTTCAGTCCTTAGGAAGCCTAAATGCATTTTTGTAAAAACGAACTAAGTACTGGGTCAGTTCTCTATGACTGAAAAGAAAAAAACAAACAGAAGAACCAAAAAAAAACAAAACAAAACAAAACAAAAATCCCTCCCAACCTCCGTGGCTTAAAACACAGCTGTTTCATTATCTTGTGTTCTGTGTGCTGACTGGGCTTGGCTGGGCAGTTTTCTGCTCTGCGTGATGTCAGCTGGAGCTACAGTGTCTTCCAGTACCCGAGTCGGCCCGCTACCATGGCGGCCAACTATTGCTGGTTGTCCTTGGCGGCTCAGCCAGGGCTGTTGACTGCAGCTCCTTTGTTTTCCTTTTCATGGCCTCTCCATGGGGCTTGGGCTCTAGCTGGGTCCTGGGAGGCAGTTTAAGTAGAAACTTCCAGTTCTCTTGAGGCCTGGGTGTGGACTTGCCAGAGCATCGCTGCATTCAGGGGATGCAGAACCAAGCTCCATGTGGGGAGTGGCACGTGGGGTGAGGGAACCGAGGAATGTTGGGGCAGGGGATGCAGCTTTGGAGGCTACCTACCACAAGTCCTGAAAACACCCCATTAAAGCAGTTACTAAAGATAAAGTGATATATACAATGGAATAGTACTTAGCCGTCAAAAAGAATGAAAGTTTGCCATTTGCAACAACCTGAGTGGAGCTAGAGGGTATTATGCTAAGCAAAATAATTCAGTCAGAGAAAGACAAATACCGTATGATTTCACTCATATGTGGAATATCAGAAACAAATGAGCAAAGGAGGGGAAAAGGAGAGATAAATCAAGAAACAGACCTTAACTCTAGAGAACAAACTGATGGTTACAGAGGGGAGATGGGTGGGGAGATGGATGAAATAGATGATGGGGGTGAAGGAGAGCACTTGTGATGAGCACCAGATGTATGCAAGTGTTGAGTTGCTATATTGTACACTTGAAACTAATATTACGCTATATGTTAACCAACTGGAATTTAAATAAAAACTTCAAAAAATTTAAAAAATAAAAACAAAGTCATATATTGGTGTCTGGTATTGGTTAAAATACCATTTGCTGGCCAGAGCCTGTTGACGGTGCACTGTGACTTCAATGGTCCAAGTGCATCTCTCTGAGCCTCAGGTTGCTCTTCTGTAGAATGGGGGCATCGGCCTTGAGGATGTTGGAGTGTCTCCATCCCTCACCTCCTCTGTCCCTCTGCGCCCGCAGGTACTCCTTCCAGGACGAGGAGGACATGTTCATGGTGGTGGACCTGCTCCTGGGCGGGGACCTGCGCTACCACCTGCAGCAGAACGTCCACTTCACCGAGGGTGCAGTGAAGCTGTACATCTGCGAGCTGGCGCTGGCCCTGGAGTACCTGCAGAGGTTCCACATCATCCACAGGTGACTGGGCTGCTGGAGGGGTGCCTGGGGATGGAGGCCCGCTGGGCGGCAGCGCATGGTGAGAGCAGTCTGCCGAGGCACAGGGCATTCTCTTGCTGGTATGTGTTAGGAGTGGCAGCACACGGAGCTAAGGAACGGTAGAACAACGCATTACGCTCCTACATTCTCAGCGGACAGCCCGCTCTCTTGTCACCTGTGTCGGAAGGGGAACACCCCACTGCGGGGAGACATGGCTGGTGGCTGACCTTGGTGTCTCTCTTCCAGCCTGACTTTGGGAGGCTGGAATGTTCTGTCCCTCCATTCTCAGGATAGAAAGGTCACGTGGTATTCGTTGGGAGCATGAGGGAATCTACTCTCTTCCTTTCCATACTTTGAGATTAGTGCTGTGCCTCGTGGAGGATCTCTCTCTCTTGGGAAGCTTCAGTCCTCACCCTGGGCTTTCATTATAAGCTCTGAATTTCTGCCTCTCCTTCTGGGCCTTTGCTTCTCCCCGCTGTGCACAGCCCTGCACTCCAACAAGGCAGGCAAAGTGAGTCTGTCTGCAGAGGCAGGAGGCCAAGGAGAGGCTTTGGAAAGCTATGGTATCACGAACAAATTCTTCTTGCTCTTCCCAGAGGAGGGGGCTAGCGTGAGTGGCTCCAGATTTGTTCACCTGCAGTCTCGCACTGTGCCTAGCAGCTCTTCTTCTAACTTAGACTGTTTCGGAAGACGTGGTAAAGAAAGTCTTGACTTTCTAGGTAAAGATGGTAGATTAGGCGCACACACATGCACAGACATGTACAGTTTGTCCCTCCTGAAACCCCAGTAAAACGACAACAAGAGTATATGAAAAATGACAAACTCCCAAGGATGGGGAAGACTAAAAAGGAGACTACAGAAACATGTGGGGAGGGGGGTCTGAAAGAAGAGGGAGAGTGGTGAATGATTAGTGTCCAAGAACATAAATTCCAGGCTGTCACTGGGGTGAGCGCTGATGGACGCCAAAGAATCCCCTAACGGTGCAGGAATTGGCCGTAATCAGCATCTTTGGAGGGAAGACAGGAGGTAAAAAAGAGGCTGAAGTAAGGTGAATTGCTTGAAAGTCTTTTAGGAAGACCTGAGGACCCCAGAGCTGCTTGCCCACTGTGAATAACTCGATGGCTGAATAATCATCTGAGTAACTTCACCCAAGCAGAACACTAAGGTTTGCTCCCTAGAGATGGTACAATAGCAAGTGTCTGCACTGACGGACATCAAGCCTACTTGAGTTGGGGTGCTGTACTGAAAATAGTATACCAACCAGATGCTAAAATACACAGCCTCTCCCCATTCCAGCTGAACTCTGAGAGTGGTGCATTCTGGCCTTCCTCCAGGCAGGACACTGTGATTTCAGTGAGGATGTGACTTCAGTGAGGATGAGCCAAGAGCAAGAGACTGTGGCATCATAGCTTCCCCACCGCCCCTTAGCGTGTAGTTCTCAGCCAACAAGCCCCACTCACTTGCTGGAAGCTGCCAGCCAGTTTACTGATGACCAAGGGTTATCAGACATCCCAGGAAATCTTCTGGCAGAAACACTGAGATTCAAACAATCAAATGGAGAAGAGGGGAAAAAAAAAACTTGGAATAAACAGACACTATGCAAGGAGAAGAAAATATCCAAATAACTATGATCAGTATAAAAAGATTTTTGTGATTATAAAATGAGGAACACCATGTTTATTTAAAATTCAGAGAACAAACATCAGAGCTCTTATAAGTTAAAAATATGACAGTAGAAATGGAAAACTCAAAAGATGTATTAGAAGACAAAGTTGACATCCCTCATATAGTAAAACAGAAAGACGAAGAAAATATGAGAGAAGATAAAAGAAAATGCCAGAGCCAATCCAGTAATCCAAGCATCAGAAGAGAGAGACAGAAGAGAGAAAACATAGTGGGAGAAATCGTCAATGAAATAATCACAGAATGTCTCCAGGACCTGAAACACATGAATTTCCAGATTGAAGGGCCTACTAGAGATACAGTGCAGAGACCAGAAACAGACACCTGTCAAAACAAACCAGATCCCATAAGTTTCCACATAAGAGCAGCAGGCCATAAAGGCTGAGGAATCAGATTGTTTTGGGTTTGTCAGGTGCTAGAAGGCAGTGGAGACGTGCTAGTCAATCAGGTGTGAGGGTGCACGTTTTCACAAGTTCAAGGTCTCCAAAAAAACATACCTCATGTTCACCTTTTCTCAAGTAACTATCAGAAAAGAGGTGAACTCCATAAAAATGAAGGACTAAATCATGAAGAAGGAAGAGATGGAAGATGGAATTGGGGCTCTAGCAGAGGAGAGAGGCATAGGGAATCTGCAGAATGGTGATGAAGGGAGGTTCGAAGATGTTGGGTGTGGCTATGGTGTAGGCCCTGACCAGTGCTGTCTGCGTGGATCAGAAGACCCTGGGACAGACTTCTTCAGGAAGCATGGGCTGATGGCATTCTTGATGCATCTGGGTGCCTTGACAGGAAGTTCTTTAGCTGGTGAAGAATCTGAAGTTGAATAACTGAGAAGTTTAGAAAAAAAGCTCAACAAAAAATAACAGACAGTTATTAACCCCAGGGAATGGACAGGATTCCATACAGGACGTCATCTGTGTGTAGTAGAGCTCACGACATGAACCAGCTCTGTATAGCATAATCATCATCATGGCAGCCCTGAAAGTCAGTCTAACCAAAAATACAACACTCCATTGGGGAATGGCAGAATGCAAGGATGAGCGTGTCTCCTGGGGGTTTCGGGGAAGAAAGACAGCTACATCCTCATCTTCCACAGTGGGAGGCTGACGGATGGAGCCTGAAATGCAAAAGTTATCCCTGTCACTGAGAGAGAAGGAGCTAAACATACCAAAATTGTCACCTGAACGGGATGCACGGAGAGGGAGAGTTGGGGAGAAAGTGATAGGGGTTGTTGCTGTATTATAACAAAACTTGCAGAAGTATTGACCCTTTGAATTATATCCATGCATAATTTTAATACAAATAACAAACACAACACAATGAATAAGAACAAGAAGAAGGAAGAGGAAGTTGTAGTTGGGATAGTAGTAGTATATAGTGGAAAAGGGGTTGTTTGGTGCAATGCAGACAGTGCTCACTGAGGGCCCGTTGTTCATTCACTCAGTCACTCACCAGGCTTCGCACACAGCTGTTCTGGCTCCGGATTCTGTGTTTGCAAGCACTGTGGGATATTTGTTGAGGAAGGTCACCCCATTTTTTGAAGGTGCTTAAAGGAGCAAGTTCTTTCCCAATCTGTTATACGAATGTCATTCATGAATTATCACAGCCATTTCTGCACTAGTGTGCAATAGATGACCAATTTGCCTAATTTCCCCCAGACACTGAGTCATGTGGACATGGGTGAGACGGATGAGCCAGGGATAGACCGGGCAGACAATGGAACTGTCCCAGGAGAATGTGCTGGTTGGAACCACTTTTTTACTTCAGCAAATGTTTTTAAATCACTAGATGTGAGGTCACCTGTCCTCAGATTCCGGATCTACCCTGGAGAAAATGAGCTAGCCAACAATTTAAAATTTTTTTAAAATCCGCTGAGTGGGATTGTCTCACTACTTCTAAAATGGTAGACTTGGCAGAGATTTGAGTCAGCTTTTTTCCCTTCCATATACTTCAATAAATCCCTTTTTCAATGTGTTTGTGTGTTCAGACTTGAAATTATGTGTCATACACACTGTGCATAAGGATATATGATAATGCTATGCAACATGCTTTGTTAATTCAACAGATGAATTTATAAATCTCCCACTCCTTATGTGTCAGAACTCCCAATGCCATATTTTATACAAAGGAATGCTGCTTTTTTCAAAGTAGCCACACTCAAAGGGGCGCCTGGGTGATGTAGTCGGTTAAGCGTCTGACTCCTGGTTTCAGCTCAGGTCATGAACTCAGGTCATGAGATTGAGCCCTGTGTCAGGCTCTGTACTCATTGCTCTCTCTCTCTAAAATAAATAAATCTTAAAAAAAAAAAGAAGTATTGTATGGTGACTAATATAACAGAATAAAATTAAATTAAATTAAAAAAAAAAAAAAGAAGTCTCTGCTGGGGCCCAAAGTCGTGTGCCACGGACATGAAGTTCCTTTGAAATCTCATGTGTGATGTGAAAAATGTCTTGACATTTTTCATTCCACTCCATTATGTAGTCATGATTCTTTTGATACATAAGATAATACTTTACCTTTCATCAAAAAAAAGGGGGAAATGAACAATAATGGCTTCTTGGAGTCTCCTCAGTCTGTGGCAGTTGCTGTTGCATAATGTCCATCTATTCAGGGAAAATGAGTTGATTTGAAGGAAGCTCGCAGCTCAGGGGAGGCCGGGCCACCAGGAACCTTCTTGCATTTTTAGATACAGTTCAGTCGCATAAATATGAGCCTATAAAGGGCAACCATTTATTCACTGTTTTGAACTGAGCATTGATCTAAATGCTAATCAGAGTGGGTTTGGGGCAGCATTTTCAAGCTTCTTTTGGAGAAAATTTTCACCAGTGGGGTTACTTCTATCAGATTTTGCTTTGAAAATGCCTGAACCACCCCCCGCCCCCAGGATGGGTCTTTGACCCCCTTGGGAAGCGCTCTGACTTGTTCTGTACTTTCCTGTGCTTCCGGCCCCGATTTTGCCTCACAATGTAAATTAATGCACAGTCTCAAAGCTTCGTGGTCCCAGTGATGCCTCACCTCATCAGACCCACAGTCGTCCCTCCTTTGGAGGCAGGAGACCCATCAGGTACAGGAGAAACCTCCCAGCTTTGCCTTGGAGTTGTGGGCTGTGAACATACTCAACCCTGACAAAATATCTGCTTACTGTCAAATTTTTGTCAGGATTAATTTTTTTTTTGTAACCTTTTTACTTTGGGAAAAACCTTTTTATCTTTAGGACCAATAATAGTTTAATCCTGCTGGTTTAACACTAGCAATCTCCTTTCTTTACTTAGACTAGCCTTATCTGTGCAGCAAGCAACCCT